AATACATATATCCAAGTTATTTTCTACTTTAAATGATGATGAATTCATCACAATATAGAGTTTAATATTTTTCTCATTCAAAAAGTTTTAATAAATAATTTTTTAATTTTAGATTACCAAACATACTTAAAATATTAAACATTAAAATTATTAATTTTAAATAAATTAATTTTTTTGGAATGGTTGAAAATTACGAAAATAAATATTCAATAAAATTTATTTTTTATGTAAATTTATTTTCTTCTCTTAATTGGATGGACATGCCTAAGGGTGTAAATGAAAAGAGTGTTCGCTAAACTATTTGTGAACCGTTCGTTTATATTCATTTGTTAAGCTAAATCAAAGAGTACCGAGACGGAACTCCTTTAGGCCCCAAGGGGGCCCCGACCCCTGTTAAAATTTGTATATTCGATATCATTTTCGTTTAATAATATTTTGGTTCAAGTAAAAATAAATATTTAAATTTAAAAATATAAAAAATTATTAAATATTTAATCAAGTAAGGGTTGAACTAAAGAATGATAAGTCTGTGTTCTCAAATTTTTGGTCTAATTATAATTTAGGTAATTGTAAGATTAAATATTAGACAAATTAGAATTTGTCTTGTGAATTTTGAGTTTTTTTTTTATAAATTTAAGGTGAATACAATGTAGTATTTGTACAAAGACTTTCAACTATTTTACAATGAACGCTCACATCCCTACATACACAGTGCTTGAACTCGGGATCTCAATGATAACAACAATCCCTTAATCACTAAGATCGCTTGGTTCATGCTGAATTTCGAGTTTAAATACCTAATAAGTCTTTATATTTTCATAAATAGTCTAATATTCCAGCCCCTGTCAATATATAATTCTGGCTCCGTTCCTGAACGAGTATAACCAAAATTATTATGTTCATTTAATAAATGAACGAACATGAATAGAGGTGTGTCCAGTTTGCTTATGTTCACAAACAAGCTCGTTTATCAACTCGTTTGTTTATGTTCACAATCAAGCTTGTTTAGAAGCTCGTTTACTTTTCATTTTTTACATTTTGAATATTGGTGAATGTAGGGACTAAATTGAATATATGATGAAATTTTAGAGTTTAAACAATGAAGCTCAAGGAGTTTAAGCACTAATGACATAATTTTACCATTTTTAGGTTGGGAATGAACATGTTAGTTAACGCTACATGACCGTGAACAACAACATTCGCAAACATTAAACGAACATGTTTGCGAACTCTAAACAAACGAATACAAATACCTTCAAAAATAAATAAACGAACACAAAGATGATATTAAAAAAGTAATCGAACACGAATCGAACATGAATATATTTAAAAATAAACAAACAAATATGAACATAATCTTATTTATTAAAGCTCGATTTATTTACCTCTAACCATACTATGACATAGGTAGGGGTGTAAACGAGCCAAGTCGAGCTCGAATATTGCTGAACTCAACTCGAACTCGAAAACTATAAAACTAAACTCGACTCGAAAACTCGCGAGCTAAAAATTATTAAGCTCAGCTCGAACTCGAATTATATTACTAAAACTCAACTCGAACTCGAAAAAGCTCGAACTCAAAAAAAAATTCTCAAGCTCGATTAATGCTCAAGACTAAAAGCTCAATTGAAACTCGAATCAAACTCGATTGAAGCTCGAATCAAGCTCGAATCAAGCTTGGTTCAAGCTTGATTCCAACTACACGTGTTAACTTTTATTTGCTGATAACCCATCCTCCTTTTATAAACTTATTTTACCCCTTAATCCCCAAGAACCATCGATGTGGGATATGGGTTTTTGGTTTTTAAAACCCCTTTTTCTGGTTTTTAAACCCCCCTTTTTCTGGTTCGTATTCACTGAGCAGCGCTTCCCTCTTCCACTTTGTTTTCGATTTATGATTTTGTACTCTGCACTTATTTGATTTCCATCAGTAATTATCCTTTGTAGAGAAACGAAAGACCTATGGATGCAGTGCCAAAACGATGCACTTTAATCCAAGTTTACCTTCGAAAATCGATGTTGAAATTGGACGATCCGGGCCGACATTCACTTTTGGTTCGGTGTGTTAATTGACTCTGATTTTCGAACATTGGATACTTGTTAAAACAAAATGGTTATTGATTTTTAGTATATCTCCTTTTGGTTTTGCTTTCTTGTTGGTTGAAGTGGCGAAGGTCACAGCAGGGAGGTGTAAACTCTATGAATTGAAACCCCTCTAACAAATGAACAAATGCCTTCGCAAATCCATTTTCCAAATCGTATGATGCCCAAGTACTCCATTTTTGGAGCGTCTTGAACCCTTCGCTACATTTTCCTACATTTTCGTAGGATGCACTTGTTTGCTTGAGGATATACACAAAACAGAGAGTTGAAGAGAGAAAAAGAAAACCAAAGAAACGTGGACAGTGGACAGTGGACATGTATTCAAGCCCGTGTTTTAGAAATGGAGTATTAGCATTTTAGGACCTGTTATATTTGTATTCAAGCCCAAGGTTTACAATTTTATGATTTGGGTTGTTAATTTATTTTTATTTTATGTTTTGATCACCATTTGTTTTTATAATGGACCTATTGATTGATTTGACCAAGTGTGATTTATTAGTTTATTTACATATAAACCCTTGTTAATTTCATTAATTTCATTTTACATAATTTGTATGTTACCTTCATGCGCATAACTTAACCCCTATCATATAATCGGATTAAGGGTTTAGGGTTTAAAACTTAGAGTTTATGGTTTAGGGCTTATAGTTTAGGGTTTGGGATTTAGGGTTTATGGTTTAGAGTTTAGAGTTTACGGTTTAGGGTTTAGGATGCAATCTAACATGTGCTTAATTAAATTGGCTTTTATTTTTCTCTTAGTATGATATCATATAATCAGATTTAGAGTTTAGGATTTAAGGCTTAGGGTTTAGTGTTTGGATTTAGGGTTTAGGGTTTAAGATTTATAGTTTAAAGTTTATAGTTTAGGGTTTAGGTTTAGGGTGTAATCTAACATGTGCTTAATTAAATGAGCTTTTATTAATATACAATGTAACAACTGGATTTGGGTTGCTTAATTAAAAAAATTAAAAATTGAGGGTAGTTGTATTATAGAATTTTTAATATATTTTTAAAATTTTATAATTATCAATAATGTATTTTTAATAAATTTTTTATAATGTAATTTTAAAAAATCTAAAATTATAATATAACATTTTTTCGAGCTGCTCACAAGCTTTTCGAGTCGAATATCGAGTAGCTCGTTTCGGCTCATTAAGAACTCGAGTCGAGCTCGAGCTCGAGTCGAGTCCATTCGATCCGAGTATTTATCGAGTCTTGATCGAGTCGATCTCGAGTAGCTCGCGATCTGTCTCGTATCATTTACTGCCCTAGACGTAGGAGTGAGACTTACTCCGTAGACTTAGTTGACTTGACCTCCTTTATCATGTTTATTTCATAAGTTTGTGGTGGTTATTAAATTCCACATTAGATAGACAAAATTAGAAAAAGAGTATCTAATTTGATGGTTGAAATTGATGTTTTATTTTTATCGTGTCGTGGGAGTTAGATTTACTCAATAGAGTTCGTTGAATACTTAATTTTTTTATTAACTTTATTTTCTTAATATTTAAGAATTTTGAAAATAAATATCCAATAAATTTTAAATTTTATTTTCTTTGCTTTTAATTGGATGGCCATGTCATGCCATAGGAGTGAGACTTGCATCATAGACTTAGTTGACTTGACCTCCTTATCACGTTTGTTTCTTAATTTTGTGGAAGCTGTTAAATTCCACATTAGATAGACAAAAATAGAAAATGATAGCTAATTTGATGATTGAAATTAATGTTTTATTTTCGTTGTACCGTAGGAGTCGGATTTACTCTGTAGACTTTATTGAGTACTTGACTTCCTTATTATTTAACATAACTCATACATGCTTTTTATTTAGGGTAAACTAACTATTTGGTCACCCGTCTATTACTAAATTTATGTTTTGGTTAATTCTATTTTTATTACCGAATGCCTTTCTGTAAAATAAAATTTTAATTTTAAATTTTTGTCACACCCCAATTTAGGGGCAAAAATTTATTAATATTAAGTATCGAATTAAGGTAGTAACAAGGGAAAAATTAGGGACCAATTTGTAAATTTATAAAAGTTGTAGCTCGGTTTTAAAATCTATGAAAATTCAGGACTTGAACCTGAATTATCCCATTTTTATTGGGCAGTGAAATATAAAGCCCCCCGATCGTCTTCTCCCGTTGAAACTTAAACCCAAAATTTTTCCCAGCCCCCATCGTCTCCGCCTCGAACCGTGGTCCTCCGACTATCGTGTTGTGCTCCGCCGATACCATTGTGACTGGCGTCCACCCAAACAAAACCCCTCAAACCATTCATCGTATAAAGCTTCCGGTTGTCGTAAATCGACCTTCGAATACTTCGATAAAAACCATCGCCACCGTGAACCTTATCGCGATTTTACGCCGATTTCGCCACCGTCGTGCTTCTCCACCATCGCCATTGAGTTCCTCACTCAGCTTCGATCAGAACCTGACCCCTCCGGTCCCTTGATGCCATCAAATTCTCCGTCGTCGGCGTGGGTAAGGCCAATGATTTTAGTGATAAAAAAGAGCGAAATTTGAGAGTTTAATAATAAAAAGTAAAACTTCAAAAATTGAGTGATAATGACAGAAACACACTAAAATGGGTAACTATACAGGTAATAATACCCTAATTCTTATCTACTTACTGATTTCATCTTCTAAATGACATGCAGTATGGAGTTTGATTAATCATATCCTTATTCCTTCCTTCCTCTTCACTCTTTGCTTGATGTCATTTTAATATCAATTTTCACTAAGAACATCTTTTATGAGCCAATAAAGTTGGTTGAATTAATAAAAGGTAGAATACTTCACTTACAAGATTCTAATTTAAAATCAAACACAATTTAATACGTATTAAAAAGAGAGTATTTTCCATTAGGAGTAGAAGTAGCAGTCTTTGTAAAACAATCAAATAAAAAAAAGGGTAAGGGTAATTAATTGCATGATATATAGTCGGTCCAACCCTGATTAATATGCATGCAAGAACAAGAAGAAATTGCATTATTTTCTTGCCTAATCTGCTAGTCTCTTCTCATTCTCTTGGAACCATGTGTATTGGCGCATTTATTTGGCAAGCTCATCCACTCTATCCTCTTCTTCTGATACAAAACAGAGATGAATACCGCAACAGGTATCTTCTTCTTCTACTACTACTACTACTACTTCTTCTTGGAATATCTTGTTAATTTATGGATGGCATTGAAGGCCGACAAAGGCATTGGCATGGTGGGACGTCGATGGTGTGGAGATACTGGGAGGAAGAGATGAAGTTGGAGGAGGGACATGGCTGGCATGCACAAGGCAAGGCAGAGTAGCATTTCTCACCAATGTGTTGGAGCTTCATCCCCATCCCGACGCCAAGACCCGAGGCGATCTCCCTCTACTTTTCTTGGAGGTAAAACAAAAATGATTTCTTCTTTCATTTGTTGAACCAAATTAGCTCACAGTTAACAACAATTGTTGCTGTTGAAAACAGAGCACGAAGAGCCCCATGGAATTTGCCCACGAACTGGCAGCCGATGCCCATCGATACAATGGGTTTAACCTCATAGTGGCTGATATTCCTTCCAAATCAATGGTTTATATCTCCAACAGGCCAATGGGGGAGCCTGTTTCCATCCAACAGGTTTCTCCAGGCCTTCACGTGCTCTCAAATGCCAAGCTTGACTCACCCTGGCCTAAGGCTCAGCGGCTAGGTAAAGGCTTCAAACAAATGCTGAACCAATATGGTAAAACCCAAGTAATGGTGAAGGAAATGGTCGAGAAACTTATGAAGGACAAAGTGAAAGCTGATAAAAGCAAATTACCCGGCATTTGTGATCTCGACTGGGAGTTCAGCCTTAGCTCCGTCTTCGTTGAAGTGGACACCCCACTGGTAAATTCCCCAGTTTCAAATATATAAAAAAAATAAATTATACGACAACTTTGAAATCTTCACTTGATTTATACAGGGCATGTACGGTACAAGGAGTACGGCGGCATTGGCGATACGTGCCGGTGGGCAGGTTAGCTTCTACGAGAACTGTCTTGAAGAGGGTGTGTGGTTTGAGAGAACCATTAATTATACCATCAATTAGATTGAATGCATGTGGGTCGAAGCAAGGAATTTGGGTGCTCAAACTTGTTTATTTACCTCTGTATTTTATAAGCATTTTAAGTTTATAGTAACGGAGTGATGTGTGTTTGGTCAGTCCAATATTAATACAAGCAAATCTATCTACTTGTTGCATTTTGCAAGGATCTGTCTCTGCTGTTATCACAATTAGGGTTACTGTGCCTTTTGCCCCCATGAATTTGACTTTGTCTAAAATTTTCCCATGACTTTTTGTTAGAAGCAATTTTGGTCCTGAATTTGGTCTTGATCTATAATTTAGTCCCTAACTTTGGCTTTGATATGCAAATTGGCCCCAACTTTTTTAATATAGATTTATCTTTAATTAAATAGTTGAATTTATACTAAATTAAAATTTAAAATAGAAATGTTAGCACTTTAGATAATTGTTTATTTATAAATAAAAACTTAATTATTATTTTAAAATTGTAAAAAAAAAGTATTCAAGAGCTAAATTACATACCGAAATTAAAGTCTGGGCCAAAACGTATAGAATCAGGGTCCTCAAATTTGAAGTTAGGAGCCAAATATGTCAATCAATCCTATTTCCTCGTATAAATGTAAGATCTAACTAAAACGAGTAAAGTTTAAAAAATTCTCTCTGTGTGAATGGTTTTTTTATTAACATGAGATAATTATAGGATTATATTAGAAAGATTTTAGGATAATATATATTAAAAAGATTTTTAAGCATTTAATAATAAATATCCAATCACTCTTACGAACTCAAATCTAAAAACTTTTAAGAAGAATAATTGTTCTCTTAATTAAAAGGATTATTTAATTCGATATATGTACCGATGGTTTTTCTTTATATAAAATAAAGAAATAATAAAACAAAAATAATTTTAAATGAAAGAGAATGCACTATGAACTTCCAAATTTGATGTAATTATTGCTTTGAGACATTCGTCAATTATTGTGATGGCTTTTATTACTGAAAACAATTACTGATAAAATTAAAAGAAAATATAGAATATATGATAATTTAAAATTTTAGAGACGACGGTCCCTATCCTCGACCATGCTATCTCTTTAAAGAGTTGAACCAATTCACTCAAACACAAACAATTGAATACCATGTGTATTGCTGCTTTCGTTTGGCAAGCTCATCCACTATATCCTCTTCTTCTGCTACATAACCGAGATGAATACCACACCTCTTCTACTTCTTCTTCTTTGTCTTCTTCCTCATATATCTTATTAGTCTATGGGTGGCATTGAAGGCCTACCAAGGCATTGGATTGGTGGGATGTTGATGGTTGCGAGATATTGGGAGGAAGAGACGAAGTTGCTGGAGGGACATGGCTTGCATGCACCAGACAAGGAAGACCAGCTTTTCTCACCAATGTGTTGGAGGTTCATCATCTTCACCACGCCAAGACACGGGGCGATCTTCCTTTACTATTCTTCAAGGTAAATAAATCTCTATCTTCTTTCTTGCCAACGGTGCTGGCTGGTTCATTGAATGTGACGAAACTATTGATGTTGATAAAGAGCACAAAGAGCCCCATGGAATTTGCCCACCAACTGGCTGCCGATGCTCATCTATGCAATAGATTTAACCTCATTGTGGCTGATATTCCTTCAAAATCAATGGTTTATATCTCCAACAGGCCACTGGGTGGGGGAGCCTGTTGCCATCCAACAGGTTTCTCCAGGTCTTCATGTGCTCTCAAATGTCAAGCTTGATTCACCATGGCCCAAGGTAAAACACAAAAGGAAAATGAATTCTTCCAGTCTTCGGTCTTTATTAATGGAAGATTAATACTTTCACACACTGCAGGCTCAACGGCTAGGTAAAAGCTTCAAACAAATACTGAACAAATATGGCAAAAACGAAGTAGCGGTGAAAGAAATGGTAAATATCTAAAGTTCATTTCTTCCATCACCTTAAGCGAGGGAAGACGCTCATCTATAATATTATAAGACTCGAAGTGATTAACGTACCTATAATAAAGGTTTCTACGATTAGGTTCGTTAAAACATGAGTTTTGGATAGTCATTTCTTGAGGATTGGGAGGAGGATTTGGAGGTTGATTTGCACAACTAGAAGAAGACCTAGGGCGTTTATGAGACATGTTACTTGTAACCTCCCCAGACCCGGTCTGTAAGTTAGACTCAAACCTAAGTGGTCACATGTCCCATTCAGAGGTTTTTTTTTATAGAACATAAAATATAATACAGAACAAAATATTAATAATACATATATGTCCAAAACGATAGCAAATACATGTCACCAAACATAACTGAAAACATATAGAAATATATGTTCGTACAAAATAAGTAGTTGATCTCCCCTGATGCCAAATCTGCTAGCTTACGGTCTGCTACTATCTGAAAAAGGGTAAAACCTACATAATGAGCTAAAAAGCTCAGTGTGTTCCATACAGTGTATATAAAAACATACTGATAAAAATATTCCAGTAAAGTTGGTTTATGCAATCATGTCATTAAAAAAAATATGAACACTACCCCCAGCCCATCACATCAGAATGTGTAGGTTCCCCAGAACCATACACCCAGCCCACACATCAAATAAGGCCCTGAGCACAAAGCCGAGGAACCTGCGGATATACTTCCTTCAACAATACCCCTCCAATGAACAATCATGAATGTATTTGAATGAAAACAATGATTAATTCTTTAAAACATAAAAGTATTCATGCTTTAAAAATCATATACAGAAATACTGAAATCAGAAGACAAATCAGTAGTATACAGAATTTCAGATATCGGACAATTCAATATTCAAAATATCAGTATAAAATACTGTAACCATAAATCATATCAGATATCAGATACATAATATTCAGATATATATTTTAAAACAGAAATAATTAACACTGTCGGGAAACACACCTGTAACAGTCTGAGAAATCAGATAGGGAAGCCTACTATTGGGTTTGTCGATCACGCTCTGCTGCAGCGCTAGATCCTACGAATTGGAAAAATCAATATTGGAATTTTAATATAAATAATCTTAATCTTTATTTAAAAATATACGGAAACCTACGGGTAATTCTTGTATTACGCGGTTCGGACTGATCTGACAAACGAACAACACCGTACCTAACTGATCCTCGCTCAGGTGAAACACAAGTACCATCATAAAATTTTTTATTGAATCAATTCTTTAACCAAAACTCAAATAAATAATTAAAATATTAAAATACTAAGCCTTTTTGGGTTCACATGCTCGATTTGGGGATTTCGGGTCAGAATTTGGCAAAACAGACTTCGGAATCAAATTCAGGACGTCGAAAAACATAAAGTATGACCTTCCGAAATTTCAAATTCTTGGTCAAAATCAAAGTCAACGGGTTTGACTGACGATTTGGAGACTTTCGGGTTCGACTTTGGTGAAAGGGACCCCAAAAACAGATTCGGGACGTCGAAAACTGTCAGGATAGGTATTTTTGGAAAAGATTAACGATCGTTTAATAGCCGGTCAAAGCCGGTCAAAGTTCTGGTCAAAGGAGGTCAATAAACTGTCAAATATTTTACAGAAATAGCACCCTTTTTATAATAATTACTAAAATAGCACCCTTTTCGAATTAATTCCAAAATAGCACTAAAATCGAATTATTTCCCAGAATAGCACCCATTTCGAATTAATTCCCAGAATAGCACCTTTTTCGAAATTTTTTTACCAAAATAGCACCCATTTCGAATTAATTCCCAGAATAGCACCAAATCAAATTAATTCCCAGAATAGCAACGGTCGGGTCGGGTCGGGTCAACGGGTCGGGTCAACGGGTCGGGTCGGTCAACGGGTCGGGTCAAAACCGGTCAAACCGGTCAAACCCTCAAGAAAACCGGTTGAACCGATCATTTTTGACTTCCCCACGCGCAGTGGCGGCGCGTGTGACGTGTTTCGGCGTCCTAAAAATCACGGAAAATTCCTAAAAATTATTTTGAGCGATTTCAAGATACTTACAAAGATCGGTTCAAATTTTTGAACGGTGGAGAGCTCGATTTCATCAAATTGGAAACTTTGACCGCTTCACCTCCCCACGCGCCGCCGTCGACGAAGATCAAGGATGACACTGGCGGACTCGGAACAGCACAAGGAACACGATTGTGCGGGAGGTGTCGTAAACGGAGCAACGATCGGCGATGAATTTAGGATTTTCTAGGCGATTGAGCTAAGAAAAATGTCAATGCTTTGACTTGAAATTCACGGTGTTTGGCAGCGTTTCGCTTCAATTAATTTAAGGGGATTGTTCCTGACTCGATAACGAACACGATGGTGCTTTCAAAACGACGATCGGAATTCGGACGGCGTCGGAATCATCGTCGGAAGTTGAGGTAGGGGAAGGGAAATTTGGGCGTGGTTTTCTGTTTTCAAAACAGAAAACCACGCATAACATATATAACCCAAACTTTACCTAACATTTTAGGGTAAATTCAGGGCTTGGTCCCTAAATTTCTTTTAACTCTAAAACAAGCTACAAGTTTTAAAATCTTTCAATTTAGTCCCTAAAAATTTGCCAATTTTCACAATTAAAACCTCAATTCCCAATTAAATATTATTTTAAAATTTTTGGGTTGTTACATTACTAAAATCAGAATGTTTTACCTGCAAATAAACAACATATTTATTCAAACAATTAATCCCAAAACTCAATATGAGTCCTCAATTCAAGGTATGCTATAACTAATTTATAATGGGCTACTAAGTTAAAAAAATTATGAAAAACAATTTTATGAAAAACAATAGTATATATAATTTTTATGAAAAACTATATTATAAATAAATAATTAAACTAAATATTTTGTTTTCAAAATTAATTTTTTTTTTTGATGATTTTGTAAAAAATATTGTAGAATCTAGTGTAAAACTATAAAATAAGTAAAGCTCATTCACTAATTTAAACTGGTCCTAGATTCAAAAAAGGAATAAAACAATGTTAAAAAAATTTACCTTGAAAGATGGGTTGAGGAGAGATTTTGAGGTTGAATGCACGAATTTAATGATTCTAGCAGGTGTAGGAGTTGAAGAACAATGAAAATCCGACTTGAAGTT